GTGTGGTCAACAGATTGTTGGGCATGTAGGAGAGAATGAGCCCCGAGCTCCTGAGTAGCAGTAATAACATTCTGATTCTGAAGAGATGGTAAGCATGTCTCTTCAACACCTGAAGCATCCTGGGGATGTGGAGCTTCAATACTATCCTGATTGTCGGGTCCAAGTAAACCATCTGCCAATATATCAGTCGAAAGAACAGAGAGAGTATTGTCTCCGGTAGTGGGAGGCGGAGGTGGCATTGCGTCAATCGGTGTTTCAATAGTTTGTGGAATGCACTCAGGGGCAAAGGAGGGACTGGTATGAGGTGGGGCAGATCCAAAAGCGTTTTTTACTTGAAGGTTTTAAGTTTGGATGCAACTGATAACATTGAGAAGGAGAATGTCCAAACATACGACAGTGAGTACAATAAAGTGGTATCTGTTCAAGTTCTGCTTGCTGCCAAAAACCCTGATATGGTGTGCAAATCCATATTTCTTCCGAAAAAGGTAAAGTAATATCCCTTTCTATCAAAATTCTGGCTTCTGAAGGTCGAGTTAGATTCACTGTAGTCGTATCAGTTTTGAGGGGTTTACCTTATACCATCGCTAAAGCGAAGAGAAGCTCTTGATCAAAAAGGTAGATCTTCAGACCTGGGAAGCGCAGTCAAACTGGAATGGTAGGAGGTTCAGTATGAGGGTCAAAATCCACCGTCCATTTTAAAACTTTCATCACCTGATTTCCTATTCGAAGAAGTCTTCTCGCAAACAAATGGATGTAGTCTTCATCATTTGATAATTGAATCAGAATGTGGCGACCATCTAATTTACCGATCTTCCAACCCCCTTTCAACTTCATTTCTCAAAGTCCTTTCGAATTAGTTCAAGTTTAGAGTTTCCATAAAAAAACTTACCTACTAAGAACAGTCGGCAGGACGCAGCTAGGGTGGAGATTTCTGCCTCAGTGAGAAAAATTACAGGTTTGCCGTTTTTAGTGGAAGCTTTTTTGAGAAATCCAATTTCAATGCCAAGGGCAAAATTTTCATGGTATCGTTGGGGAAACATATTGGAAAGAGGGTCGGAGACGGGATTATCACTAGC